GCATGGATCCATCCTGCCTTGTATCAACGGTTCAGGCTGGTGGTGGTGGTGGTGTCATGGTGTGGGGAATCTTTTCTTGGCACTCTTTGGGCTCCTTGGTACCAATTGAGCATCGCTGCAACGCCACAGCCTACCTGAGTATTGTTGCTGACCATGTCCATCCCTTTATGACCACAAAACCGTTACTAGCGTGGTGTACCTAATAAAGTGGCCGGTGAGTGTATATAGCGTCACAAAATACTAGTGGTCTAATGCAATTCTTAAACAGATCCACAATTAGTTGTAACAATATACTTTATTTGATAAACATATATTTTAACTGTAAAATAAAGACTAAAAATACAGTAGACGGACTGAGCCATTTTATTTACATGCAAAGCATTCTGGGTAAATGATGACGTGGGTAGGTCCTCAGTGCGAGGCTGCTGTATCCACCCTGAAGGTTAATCTTGGACAATATCTGACGATTGGCTCTTTTAAATGAAACCAGAGAGCGTTGACAGAGAGGAGAAGGCAGAAATGATTCAGACTACAACTGAAAATRTGGATGGAGGACAACAGAGCTGCTTCATGGAAGAAGAACCTCAGCTTAGCCTGTTAGCTTTAGCGCCAACGCTATAATGCCTTATATGTACTAGCTCGGCACTAGCGCGACAAACCAATCCATTCTCACTTCCGACTCATCAACATATTGACGCTTGGTCAGGTAGCTGTCTGCGTCAAGCTTTGACACGTTGGGTACCCCCCGTGCATCAGTTTTTTACGAGATGAGGCAGAGGAGGTYGAGCGCGTTGTCATATTTTTAAAAAAGTAGGAAATGTGCGAAACTAACCATCCCAGTCCCAAAATTTAACTTCTATTAGCCGTATACAGCCTATCCCCGACCTCAGTACCTAAAATTAACCATTACTGGTAATCCCAATCCCTCATATTAACCTCAGACCCCCAACACAAAAACCCCTAAGTGGYGCAACCCGGAAAACCCGCGGTCGGCAAGGACTGACGCGAGGGGGGTACCCGACACGTCAMAACTGGACGCAGACATCCCTGACCAAGTGTCAATATGTTGACAAGTCGGGAGTGAGAACGTGTTAGACAAACTAACAAGATAAACTGAGGTCCTCCATCCATATTTTCAGTTACAGGCTGAGTCATTTCTACCTTCTCCTCTCTGTCAGCGCTCTCTGGTTTCATTTAAAAGAGTCGATCATCAGATATTGTCCAAGATTAACCTTCAGGGTGGATGTAGCTCGCTAGCAGCCTCGCACCGAGGACCTATTGACGTCATTACCCAGAATGCTTTGTGTGTAAATAAAATAGCTCAGTCCGTGTAATATATTTTTAGAAATTTAGTTAAAAAATTTACAGCCTACAGTATTTTTACAGTTATTATTTTACAGTTAAAATAAATATTTTTCAAATAAAGTCTAGTGTTACAACTAATCATGGATCCCTTTAAACACTTCAGTTCAGGGAATATCTCATCATGGGGAAAAATAAATATATAAATGGATGATTCTTCTCAGCTTTTCTCTTTATATTCGGTGTGGCTCTAACTGATGGTCATCTTTATTCTGTTAGAAGCTGTTAATTTTTCATTAATAAAAACTGTGAATTTGTTGCAATTTTAAAACCAGAAACATTATATGACTCCATTTCCCTTCTGCATAAAAAGCAAACATTTTGTTGTTTAACAAAAAACAAATATAACTACTAAAACTATCTAAATATTCCCCAGTAAAACAACTACGGCAAGTCATCTGTTTGTGTCTTAGGCAAATAAATTACTTCTTTTATCTCCGGAGTGGGACCGCTGTGGTTAAAAGCTGTTGTCTTATGCTTATGATTTATTACCGTGTTGCTAAAAAAAARGCAACAAATGACCAGATTTATTTTTGTTCCTTTTTGTTGTTGAGCCCCAGAATCGTTCAGTAGTTGTACTTTTTCCATGTTCACACGTACAAAGAAATATTAATGATTTATTTGAAATTTGAAATGAACTTATTTTGATTTGATAACTTGTGAGAGTAAACAATGGTGCTCAGCAACATTGTTGGAGTTGTGCACTTGAGAGATGAATCAGCCTTTACATTTCATGCTGATGTTTTGAAGCGTGTCAACACAACTCCAAATCACTGTTCGCASTTTCAAGCACGTAGTTCATCCTCCTAAACTTTTGAACTTGTTCCAAATAAATAGCATATTTTAATAGAAACGTAACATGTAGATTTAGTTTTTTTTTCTGCAGTAAAATTTCAAAATTACACTTCTATTTCCTACTGAACTAAATTACTTCAGTTGTAGCTTAAAGCACTTTTAAATTAAGAGATCTTTCTGGAACTTATTTATATAAATGACTTTTTTTTCTTAAATTGAATCAATCTGCTGCTCACTGCAATATGTACTGACAAAGGTTTAACCATGGAAGCTGGGAGCATGTGTGAATTTCCAGGACTCCCTYTATAAAGAATATCCTCAAATGTGTGCAGTAAAATGCACACATGCAGTTGCCTTTTCTAAAAATGAGCCTTAAAATGACGTAAACCGTTTATTTTAGACAGACATCTATAATGTTACCTAAAATGACCTAATGCTCCTCCGCCCACTTTGTGTTGAAATAAATGGAAAAAGTTTCTACAAAATAACACAGTGGATTTATAAGTCAGATTTATATATACATGAATCGTAAACCGATGAAGGTATTTTTATCATRTAATTATATTATTTTCACATCTCTGTCTTCCTGCACCCTCTAGATCAGGGGTGTCAAACTCATTTTCACCGAGGGCCACATGAGAGTTATGGTGGCCCTCGAAGGGCCAATTGTAATGAACATTGATGTTTCATGTTAAAYTTTGACTAAACAGTGTTTTAACGTGTCCTCTTTTAAACACWGACCAGAAATAACTAMATCTGAAATAAATAATACAGAAATCCTATTAAAAATAAAACTAATAAAGTTTTACTCACTGATGAGTTTCTAATGAGTAGCTGCCAGTGGTGGGCAGCACTAATCTAAAA